CCCACCAAATGTTCATTCGTTAATAGTTAACGAATGTGTATTTGAGGAGCCTTGTTTGACTTGACTTTCGCCATTCAAGTGAACCATTCGTTAACTATTAACGAATATTCATTTGGTCATATTCAACTCTACCATTTGTTAATAGTTAACGAATTTTGTTTGGAATAAATGAATCATTCTATCAGTGTAGCAAATAATAAAAAAGTCACAAAATATATTCAGATCTGAATGAAAATCCTCAACGATTTTATCAGACACAATACATTTTCGGCTTCTGACCCTGCGAAAATGGGAGATGGGAGATTACACACTATGGGGCTGCAAAATAATGAAACAATTGTTGGAGGGGGGGATGGGGTGTGCACAAGTTTCTAGGGGGATTTTTACTACCGCGGCGGGAGGGGAGGGGGATGGTCATGGTCGTTATGGTAACCATACGCGCGTTGACGTATCATCTGGAGTAAAATAAGAATACTGTACGAATAACCACAGTGGCCTTGAGAGCTCACAGAGACCCAGAGTGGTTGAATCGAAAAGGAGGAAGTATTCATATCATCCGGTGAACGGTATAACCCGTACGTGTCTGGAGTCTCTCAAAGCATTTCTAATTCACATTCCATTAAGTGCTTTTTTTCGCCGGTTTTTATTACCTCTCGTAAATATTCCAAAGCAGACAGGCTGTAGCTTTGAAGGATTTCATGTCGTCAATTACATCGTTGAATATGTGGTTTGTTTTTTAATTCTATACTTACCTGAGGCTCACCTCGACCGCGTAGGGTGGGGGGTGGTTTTGAAGATGAATGCATTTATGGAAACAAATCATTGAGATGCAAATTGAATTGAATTAACATTGAACGGAGTAACGACATAACTGTTAATTGTCTGTGCAAATAAATTTGTTAGTGCGGTTTTATGTATGGAGACTCTGACATTCCAAAAATGTTTTTTATGGGGGAAGTAAATAAAAGAATTTCAATAGAGTTCAGTTAATATACAAAACTGAAGACAAGAAAATTAAATAGGTTTAGCAATTATGGCTTACATAATTGTTGAAGAATTATACGCTTTCTGCGCATATATTGACGACCCTGACATGACAAAAAAAATATCTTTCATGGAGGAAATAAAGAGAAGAATTTCAATCGTTCTTGGGAAATATCTATTGGGTCTGGGCAGTACATGTTATTCAACGCAAAAATTGAAGTGAAAATGAAATTAAATGATTTGGCAATTGTGTTTTGCATAATTCATCCAAGAATTATACGCTTTCCGTGTATTGCTGCCCCTAACGTGACAACAAAAACTCTTTCATGGCGAACGTAAAGGAAGGAATTCCCATTATACTCTCACAATTTCCGTTGACTCCAAGACATACACTGGAATAAAAAAAAGTTTTTTAAGAAGCACGTCTTCATTCGCATCAAGGCTCGAAAATTTTCCAAGAGTAAAATATTTCGCACTGAGAAAAATAAACTTTGGTCAAGAAATTTTGTTTAAATACAACTAAAAACGTACTTCTCAAAAAACTTTTTGTCCCTCAGTGAATAATTCGACCCAGAAATATTTCAATTAGCAAAATTTTCTGCACGCGGAAAAATGGTTTATTTGAATTAGATAATTTATAATCGTATCAAATAATTGTCAACGTAAATTATTTGTAAACGTATCAAAAAATACTTTAGTTGAATAAATGAAGGGTTTATCTCGATGGAATTAATTATTAATTTCATTTAATCGGAACGTTTTCGTTGAAATAAATATATGCGTTCATCATTTTTTTTAATAACCCATCGTTTCCTTTGGAGGATTTAATTGGAAATTGCTTAGGTTTCATTGAAGTATCTACTTTCGAAAAATCAATTTCAATCACAGTTACAGGGACAAATCTGTTGAATTAATTTTAAATTAAAAAGTCAGTTGTCCACTGACATTTTACCCACAGGATCTCTACACCCATTAAAGCCATTTACACAAGGCATCAGCAATCGCTCCTGGTCAATTTACACTCGATTTATTTCCACATCGTCCTCGTCAAGGACGATGCATTAACGTGTCGTCGCTAGTGATGCGCGCAAATAGACTGTGTTGCTCTTGTGATGTAGGAAGTAAAGACCTTGGAGATGCTGGTGTCAAGATGTCGAGAGGAGTTTATAATTATTCCAGGTTGGATAATATAATCTATGAATTTTTAAATGCACTCGTCCAGTTCTCCTTACATTCACTCGTGCGAAGACTCATAAAAAAACTTATTTGACGCATTGTTATAGAGTTGTAATAGCTGTTGTTGTTGTTGATAATATATTCAGGATGAGATCATGCGAGGAAAAGAACATCGAGAAATCTTTTGATTTTCTTGGAGCTGTTTTCGCGATATTTAATCATCAATCGAGGAGATAAAGTGTCGATTAATTACTTGAATGTTCGAACAGATGATGATATTTGGAAGAAAGTCATCGCGATACATTGTTAGATTTTTTTGGCTGAAATCCCCAACACATTTCTTGAAAATGTTCATCATATTATGAATCCACTGGAATTTCAAGAAATTTTTTCATTGAAAATTCATAATTTTATGAAAGAATCTGTGGAAACTAATTTTCTCGGCAACTATTCCGTAAAAATTAACAGAGATAGGGAAAATTCAGGTTATTTGATTCTTGAATTTTCATGTTGTGATTGAAAATTCAAATGAATTTGGGAATTCTCGTCTTCCTGCAGTTCAGAATTTTGAAATATTATTTAATTTTCAGTGAAATTGGTGATTTCCTTACTTTTTCATCCTAAAGGCCATTCAGTGTCACTATCCTGAAAATTCTTAATAAACAGTTCATGAAATTTCATTCCTTTTCGAAGAGTGTACCTCAAGATTGCTCCATTTTATTTTATTTTGGATAATTTTTGGCATTCAATGTCAGTTTTCTGAAATTTCCTAGTGAACTCTTTATGAAAAATCATTCCTTTTCTCGAAACTGATTGATTTTATTTTATTTTGAATGAAATTTGTTGCAAGTTCATGTATAAACTTGCAACTGGCCATCGACCATAGGCCTTCAGTCAAATATTTACATTTTATGAACATAATAACTAGTAAAATAAACTGATTTATGTTCTTCGAATGTGATTACCCATAACTGAACATGCGGAGATTCCAATTGCATCACCAGTGGCGTGGAGATTCTGTCGATTTATATTTATAAAGCTCAGGGGGACTAGAATCTCTCGGCACAAGACTGAAAGCATATATGCCTGAAGAGCATCATCGTTCGTATGAATTTTACAATATCTTTTCCGTTGAATTTTGTTTGTATTTCCGAGGACTCCAGCTATAAACTGGGACCCCGTTACGTAACAAACGCGCCATAGAGTGCATGCACCCATGTCGGTGGGTATGTAGAATCAGATAGCCGTATGAGACACTCGGGTGTTTCGCAATTTAACAATTAATTAAGTTGACACTGTTAGATATCTATTGTATTTGTGCGTGTTTGAATGCATGTAGATATGAGTTTCAGGGCGTTCGGTACATTACACCCGCACGGAGAGAAATATTAGTGGAAATTATACCTGAATTTTTAACGACTCATTCATGTGATTTCTCGATATCTGTCATTACTAAAACATCTGTTAATTTCTGGAATATTCAAGGAAATTACACGTGAACTGTCCACATATGAATAATTATTTTTTTTATAATGTGGACCTGACAATGATAATTTCATTAATTTCTAATCATTATAATAGAATAATAATAATAATAATGAATTGATAAAATGCAGAAAACCCAGGCAGTTTTAATTTTGAATTATAAATCTATTGAAAATTCGAGTGAGAGAAATATCAATGATCTTTTAACATGGATGATAGAATTTTCTGGAATTTCCTAGAACATTTTATGAACGATTTTATCTCAAATTGAATGGAAATTCACAATATCAAAAATTTAAAGACTTATTTCTTGAATTTCAAAAAAAAATTAACAGTTAACTAGAGAATGCAATAAGTCTGGGAAATTGCTCATTCAGATATTGCAGTCTCCACAAGAATTATTGAATTTTTCGCTAAAATTTCGCAAAAAAAAAATTCTGAAAGGTCAATATGCCGCGCAATTACTGAGATCCATGACTAACTTTTTCCTCCATACTGCGTTATGCTGTTTAGGAGGCAAACAGTGCAGTCGAAAGTCTAAGTTTTTTTCAATTGTCTGGAAAATTATGATTGTCCTGGATGAATTTCTAAATTGAATTCTCAGTACTGAATTAGACCAGGAACAGAACAACTTATACGGCAATCTTCATGTGCAACCGAGGCTTGAGAATGAAAGGTTTCGCTTTATTGTAACAAATTTCCCTCTTTATTCGCTCTTACTCACTATCGCTTGAACACGAAGAGTGATTTCACGAGTTTCATCACGAAAGTGAACATAATTCGAGGAAGAAACCATATCGATAGGAGTAATGACCCAATTTATGCCGCTGAGGAGATATAATAATTGCGAGATGGATAAATCTGTTTTGACTGAGAATACTAACACACATTGATCGTTTTTATCTGTGTCATTATGACTCATCATCGTAAATTCCTGGCACTCTGGAAGCCAGAGTTCAACGTGTTTTATACTTGAGTTTTATAATGACAAGTGTTTAATTATTGCGCTGAATTAGTCCGTCCTATGCTACCATGCGCTGATCGCCGTTGAAACGCATCGGTACAATATTCTCTCGGGAATGACAACTTAATACTTCTGCTGTTCGATGACAGATGGCATGAGCAGTATACCCTCCAAACATTCACCAGCAATTACACTTGGACTTTATAATCAATCGAAATTAATTGTCTCAAATGACATCAATTTAGCGGAAGCGCTCTAATTGCAGACGTTTCGTTTCGAACGCGAGTCTTTTTCAAAAATTATCAGTTCTACCACAAAAACAAACCGAAAACTATTACTGCACCTGTTCGCCAGTGGTGCCACCTACGATAACAATTTTCCAATCGAAAGAGTCGTGCGGAGCATAACCGCGTAATGAGTGTTGTTTATTCCCATGATTTTCACGAGAAATAACGTGGTTTGACTGATAAAAAAATCCAGGTAAGTGTGAATAAAGCTCCTAAACCCTTTCTTCATAAGGCAATTCATGCATTCCTCCGAAAAGTTCCAGACATACCGTATACACTAACGACTATAATAGTGCACTGACCACTCCCTATCTCCTCCCTACTCCGGACAACACAATTATACCATGACTCAATGAGTAATTCTCAAAACATTTCATTCATCATCGCGCGTATTCACACCCAAAAGTGCCTAACAGCCTGTGATTTTTCGTCTTAAAGATCAAAGTAAGCACGATGAATCGTGCATACCTGTTGACCGTATTCTGCATCGTGAAGACCCTCCCCATAAATGGACAAGATGTCAATCAACAGCCGAATTGGGGTAATCAGCCATCGGACACCTGGAACAATCAGCAACCAAACACCTGGAGCAATTCCCAACAAAATCCCCAGCCAAATCAGCCCCCGAACACCTTCAACGATCAGCCCCAGAATGCCTGGAGCAATCCCCAGCCGAATTGGGGCGGAAACTCCTGGAGTGGAGGACAGACATACTATTACGGTGAAGTCGAGCACAAGTGTCCGAAGCACTGGGTAAGATTCCAAGAGTCCTGTTACCGCTTCATAAAGAGTCCTCTCCGCAGCCGAGAGGATGCGAAACGCAATTGCCAGGCGTATCAGAGTGACTTGGTCTCCATAAACTCAGTCGAGGAGCATGGCTTCCTGCTGCAACAGCTCCAGTGGCAGGACCCCCAACACAGACCCTGGTACACAGGAGCTAGACAAGCGGGAGGTTACTGGTCCAACGAAGGCGATGGGTCCCAACTCGTTAACATGGAGAACGCTTTTCTACCTGAACCCAACGATGGATATAATCTAAACCGTGATGCATTGGCCTACAACTTCAGCGACAGCTTGAAACGCTGGGGGCTGGAGAAGATTTCGTCTTATGAACCTCTTCAGTACATCTGCGAGGCGCAGGTATCAATGCTGCAGAATCTAGCTGACGACGATCGTGATTACACCTATGGAATTGAGATCGATAACCCCAGGGAGATTCCACGAGGGCCTTATTTCATCAAACAACCTGTTAGCAAAGTCTTCGATGTCTCCAAAAGAAGGCTAACCAATGAAGTTACCTTGAGTTGTCTCGCAGGGGGGTACCCCACCCCGACGTACGAATGGTTCAAGGAGGATTATGATAACGCTAGACTCTATGCAGTGCCGATTGACCCGCTGGAGAACCCCAGGTACACCCTCAGTGGGGGCAATCTGATCATCTACAATCCTGATCAGGCGAAGGACAGAGGTGCTTATCACTGCAAAGCTAGTAATAAGTTCGGTGTGATAATGTCGGAGACCGTTGTGCTGTCGTTCGGGTACATTCTCGAGTTCAATCTGAAGAGATCAGAGGAACGTGGGGACCAGAACTGGGGCAAGGCTGTGTACTGCGATCCCCCGCAGCATTACCCAGGGGTCAAGTACTACTGGACGCGCGATTACTTCCCGAATTTCGTGGAGGAGGACAAGAGAGTCTTCGTGTCGAACGATGGGGCTCTCTACTTTTCTGCCTTGGAGCCCATCGACAGGGGCAATTATTCCTGCAATGTTCAGAGTATAGCGTCGGATACTGGGAGAAATGGACCGTTCTTCCCGCTTCACGTTAATTCTCATCCGACTTATCAACAGCTGAAGTTTCCGAATAACTTTCCGAAGGTTTTCCCAGAGGCTCCGATTGCCGGGGAGGAGGTCAGGTTGGAGTGTATAGCTTTTGGGTATCCAGTGCCATCGTACAATTGGACGAGGAGGGGTGCTCCATTACCGAGGGGCGTTGTCTATCAGAGTTATAATCGGGTACTTGTGATACCTCGGGTGCGGGTTGAGGATCAGGGGGAGTATGTCTGCAGACCTTTCAACGACAGGGCTTCTATTGAGAATTCGGTCTGGTTGACTATTCAAGCTACACCGAACTTCACGATTCCTTTGGAGGATAAGCATGTGGATCTCAGGTCTGATCTCACCTGGACTTGTGAAGCCTTTGGGAATCCCGATGTTACTTATCATTGGTTTAGGAATGGGCAGTTGTTGGATAATACTACGCTGAGGGGGGAGGAGAGGGATAGGTATTTCATACAGGATAACGTGTTGAAGATTCAGAGGGTGGAGGAGGACGATGCTGGGATGTATCAGTGTCGGGCGACGAATCAACTGAAGACTACATACTCTTCGGGGCAATTGAGAGTTCTATGTAAGCATTGGACATTAAGTGTGAATTCATTTTTATTTTGGTTTTATGGAGTTTCAATGATTGTTTCCATGATTGTTTTACGGAGTTATTTTTCTCAGCGATGAAACCGTCGTTCAAAAAACATCCGATGGAATCTGAGACGTACGCGGCGGACCGAGGGAATGTCACGATTGTTTGTAATCCAGAGGCAGCACCGAGACCCAAGTTTATTTGGAAAAAAGATGGGAATATCATAGGTGCTGGAGGACCGAGGAAAATTCTTGCTAATGGCAATTTGATCATCAGCCCAGTGTCTGTTGATGATGAAGGGACGTATGTGTGCACTGCTACGAATCAGTATGGCAATGATGAGACACGTGGACGACTCATTGTATTACGTAAGTTCATAGGTCATTTATTCAATTTTTTTATCGATCTGGGAAAGAGTATCGCATACATAACTGTGTATAATTTTGAAGACTCAATTATTACCTCTGATATTGTTTTTCACTACAAATTTATCTATGAAAAAAAATGAGAGCTTGTCATTGAAGATTTTGAGGAAATTGAAGAAAATGTTATGCTGGATTTGAGAAAACAGAATTTTCCCCAATGAAAAGTCTGATCTATATCTCGAAAGGTTAAGAAAAAAAAACATATTTTCGCAAGTTGATAATTAATATCTATATGAATAATGTCAAGATATAAATTGTTTCATTATAACATACGACTGTGTCAAACATGTATAGTCGCATCGCTTCCAAATATTGTACTCAAAAGGTGGATCATTCACGCGAGCTGGTGCCTTTCCAGTATGAAAATATGTCATAAAGTGAATATAATAAAAAAATGTTGGGTTTCTAAGATACGATATTGTTATAATATCTTCATTATTATTCATTGAGGAGTTAATTTCTTATCTTTGAGTATGAAATAGGAAAAGCAAATCACTACTCTTGCTTGTTTTGCATAAACTGAACATCTTTCGAAGTATAATATTAATAATAAGATTTTTTGAATGCCGTAAAATAATAACTTTTTGTAATTGAAACAATTTTTGCGACAATATTACCGAGATTTTGCTGAATCAAACAAGATTTCTTCGAGAACATGTCTTTTTTCTTTTAATGCACAGAATCAACATGAGTTTGGTCTTTGAATTGAAGAACGAAATTTTCATGTCTCAAAGCTTTCCCACATATCTTAATTTCTTCAATTGAAAAACATTTTCTCCCAATTAATTCCCACTTTAAACCGTTCATTGAACCTTCTCCAGGTGGTCCGAACTTCGTTAAAACTCTCCCCCCTGGAATAACAACCGCAGTGATGTACAATCAAACCTTTCGCTGTCAAGCGGACGCAGACGAAATGCTGGATATCGCCTACATCTGGAAGCACAATGGCATAGTAATAAGAGACAAAGACTTGATGGATAACCCCCGTCTGCGAATCGACGGAGGAGTCTTCACCATAATCAACGTCACCCTCGCCGACGCTGGTGACTACGAGTGCACGATAAAGACTGCAGTGGGAGACGTGTCGAGTCGCACAACATTGACCGTGAAAGGTCCCCCGGGGCCTCCAGGTGGAGTGTCAGTAGTGGACCTTGGAAAAGTCTCAGTAACTCTGGAATGGACAGACGGTGCGTTCAATGGAGGTTCAATTTTCATGTACACAATAGCCGCCAGAACAAGATGGATAAATGAGTGGTTCAACATATCAGAGAACGTAAAAGCAGAGGAGATTGATAGATACAAAGGTCGCAAAAGTGCTAAACTGGAGGATGTTCTGAAGCCTTACACAACATACGAGTTTGCTGTGTCCGCAGCTAATGAATATGGCTACGGTCCGCTCTCCCTACCCTCTCCCCAGTTCAGCACTCCACCAGACAAACCAACGAGAGCACCAGCTAACGTGGGTGGAGGTGGTGGTAAACTCGGCGACTTGACAATCACTTGGGAGAAGTTACCTCCGGCCGATCAACATGGACGTGACATCTACTACAAGGTATACTGGCGTCGCAAAGGAGACCTAGAATTCCAGTCCCTCTCCCTGAAGGACTACGGCGACGTGGGTATGGCTGTGGTGCATGTCGACAAGAAGAACTACTACACAGAGTACGAAGTCAAGGTCCAGGCCATCAACGAAGCAGGGGCCGGTCCAATTTCTGAGGTAGCTACAATTTTCAGCGCCGAAGACATGCCACAAGTGCAACCACAAAGGGTTTCAGCTTTTGGTTACAATAGCACAAGTTTGAATGTCTCCTGGGCGCCAGTTGAGGAGACGAGGGAAATAGTCAGGGGTAAATTGACAGGCTACAGGCTCAAGTACTGGCCGGTTAATAGGCAGGAGGAGCAGGGGGTTTACTATCTTTCTCGAACAACGAGACCCTGGGCTCTCATCGTCGGTTTACAACCCGACACACTCTACTACGTCAAAGTTATGGCTTATAATTCAGCTGGGGCGGGACCTGAGAGTGAGAGGTTTCGGGAGAGGACATTCAGAAAACCACCGCAGAATCCACCGAGCTCGGTGTTTGTTTATGATGTTAATCCATCAACTGTCAGGGTTGTTTGGAGATATGTACAGCCTAGTCTCGATGAGGAACCGCTTGATGGGTATAAGATACGTATCTGGGAGATTGATCAGGATATGAGCACAGCTAATGATACTATCATTCCTGCTGGGGAAAAACTCGAGGGGTATATTTATAATTTGAGTCCGGGGAAAACGTACAATCTTCGGGTTCTTGGGTTCAGCAGAGGTGGCGATGGCAGAATGTCGAGTCCACCTAATACATTCCAAATGGGGGATCCAGCGTTGTTCAGAAACGCCGCGAGCAATAAGATTTTGGACTCCGCTTTGGGGATTTGTGTAATTATTCTTCTGTGGAGATTAGGCTTCGTTTAACTGGGGGCCTAGGATCTTCAGGGTGGTGAGGCCTGTAATTAATTTGAGAAATTTTGCGGACGTATTTTTTATATTGATAATGAATTCTTAATATTTTACACGGAGGAAATAGCAATTGAAGTGTTCTTACAGTTTGTATTTTAGCGAACAGCTGAAGTAGTTTGATATTTTTGGAGGTAATTTAATCTCAGGGTAGGTGCATCATTTTGATAGACAATTTGTTCTCGATTAACGAGAATTGTTTGGGCCGCTCGAACGAAAGATCTGAATTTTTTTGTTTTTATTTCCATTCAACTAACTCCTATTTGTTTTACGTAGAGTTGATCCGTGTTCAAAACAGTGATTACTTTTTTATCGGTTAGGAATTATAATGTAATTATAGTGCTCTTTTTTTATTGTGTTGTCCTCAAGCGCAACTAATTTTTCCGTCCATACGTGCCGAGGTGAATAATATATATTTGACCACGGGTTTCTTACTTGGTACTGTAAAGAATAAATGAACGATTCCGTCAACATATGCATCACATGCAGCAAATAATAATGGTGTATAAATATTGAGTAATCTTTTTTGAATGAAAACAATTGCACAGTGTTATTGAAGTAACTCTATAACTTCGAGAGTTGAAGCACTTGATACAGATGACTAAAGTAAAGATGGTTTGTGTAAAATCTGTAAATTGTGAATTTTTATAAATGTAAAGACGATAAATTGTGCAAATTTATTACGACGATATTATTCTCTTTGTACTTGCATTTCTGCATTTTTGTAAAAGAGAAACCAAATGATTGTGGGTTTTTTGTACTATTGTAACTCGAAAAAATGAAAATTATACGATGAGAAAATAAAAAAGAATTTTTCTACAATATGTTTGTTGCTTTTTTTGCTTTTCTTATCAAGAAAAATTACGAGATTTTCCATTAAACTGTATTTATTCAATTTTTTGATACACAATGATGATTCGTATTGACTCATTAACGAGAATTCAGATACATTCGGATTACACAAAAAAAAACATTTGTTATTGCGATTAAAAAAACTCAGGATATGTATGAAATGATAAAAATACAAATAATCGAAGATATTCGGGAAAAAAATAAATAGAGTAGTGACTAAGGTATCTAGTTACATACTGATTGATTTAACATATACACAATTATTTATAAATAACAGAGAGCAATGATCGACAATAATTTATATATGGCATTAATATGATATTTCATTTTTAACTTCTGTTGTTCTATTTGTACGTCATTACCACTTGAAACTAATTTCCCAGGGCATTATTTCATACCACTACGACTTAACTCGAACCACGGAATGCTCTAGACTCAGGCAACGACTAAGATTCAATTTTTTCAATCATTATTTCCACCGCCTCTAATCGAAATGCGATCGCGCTCAATCATTCATTGAACACCTTCGAACCTACAGTTATTTATACTAGTCATCTAAGGCCAGTAAGTAATCGCGTTTGTAATTCTTGAAAAGATTCTTTCTTATTGAATTCATCAACCGCAACTTCAGCTCATTGATGGTGATCTGAGAGTAGAAAGGATCAGTGGGTGAGCAATCACGGAGAATAATTAACGCGCATTTGTTTGTTTGTGAAACAATGATTAGTTAAATTTGAAAACAAAAATTTTGATGTGCCTATAGTGGCGCTAGTTCTACAGCTGGCAGGCCCATTTTTACCCGCAAACTCGGCACATCATCTTCTATTCTAATGAGCAACTTGAATTTCTGAAAAGAGAAAGTGTTCATTAATGGATAAATTAACAACCTCTGACAGAACGATTTATTTTTGAACAAATTATCTGCCGAAAGTTATCGGCATTTATATATTGGGTTTGGAAAATATTAATAAGTTTGCGCAGGAAATTTGTTTGAAAATTTTGAGGAAACGGTGGCTTTCTGGCGCCCCTTGACAAGATTGATTACGAGGTCTCGGGAGTGAGAAAAGAAAAACTATTAAAACCCGGAGAAAACTTTGCGCCATTAAATCTCAGCCGAGAGGGCATGAAAGTCTCTGAAGATGACTTAACAAATCTGATATTTTTATAGAAACGGGATGAAGTGAGTTCAATGTGATCACGAGAAGATAAATAATCTTAAGAAATGTTTAAATATGAATTTCGCAATTGCTAGTGCCTAATAATTCGAGACAGATTTTTTAAAATCGGTTAAATGTCTCTGAAAATTAAGATTTTTTTCTCCGTGATCAGTGCAGGAAACAGCATCAAATGGAGTGAATCAAGACATAATTAGAATCTCACCTGAGCTGTGGTTCCAGGCGTCGTCTGCCACTTATAAATCATGTAACCAGGTATGCAAAGCATGGAGGATAGTGCCGTGAACCATCCGAGAACATGAGACCACCAGGGATACTCGTAATCCAAGTATTTGATCGGCGTCCATTGCACGAGATTAAAGAAGAAGACCCCCTAAAACCCAAAAGCAATGAAAAACAGTGAAGATGATTGAGATTTCCCTCCCTCTCCCATAACATTAAAGGCACGTACGATACAGATCATTGGTGTTGTGAATGTCCAGCAGAATTTCCACCATGCGAGTGGATAGTATCCTATCATATCACGCAGAGCATCGTAAAATCGGTTGACGCCAAATGCCCAGCTGATGGCGATGCACTCGAAGAAGATGAGGAATAGGAGACAGAAGCCGGAGACAGCGTATGAGTCGAGGATTTGGAAGACGTACATTCCACCTTCGGATATGCAGGATAGACCGACCAGGTAGGAGATCACGCACACGATCGCTATGAACAGTTCTTTCCTTCTGCGGAGAAGCTGAGGCCACTCGTCCACCTTAAAATCAGCATTGATTCCAATTAAGTAACATTCGTCTATGAAAGTCAAAAGAAATTGTCATAACCATAACACGATGAGAGAATATTCTCACTGTTGTTATGCCCCCGATTTGTTAAGTTGTGTTATTGTTGAATATGTGGGCATACAGCACACCCGCAATTGGATTATGCCGATAATGACTGACTGACTGACAAAAAGCTGTACCATGGCAGTGATGAATCCCTCCATAGTACAGAACTGCGAGTCCAATCCAATAAGCAGCAGCATGAAGAAGAACAGGCAAGACCACAGTGGAGCCCCAGGTAGCTGAAGTACAGCAGATGGATAAGCCAAAAATGCCAGACCAGGACCCGAGGCTGCCACCTCAGCCACGGGTTTCTGCTGCTCATGGGCCATGAACCCAACGACCGAGAATATGACGAAACCCGCGAACATACTGGTGGAAGAATTCACTGAGCAAACGATTAGGGCGTCTTTGTAAACGTTATTCGAAAATTTGTTGTAGCTTCCGAGGGCCACCAGGGTTCCTAGACCGAGCCCGTAGGAGAAGAAAATCTGGGTGACTGCGTCGATCCAAACCTGATGAATATTAAATATTAATACATTTTATGAATGAATGAAATTGTGTCATGACAGATGATTAAAAAATACTTTTGTGAGCAGTGAAGCGATAAAACGAGATGACTGAGTCAATTTCTCTCAGAGAGACAGCAAAGTTTTCCATACTTTAGTAAGTGAGAGTCGCAAGGAGAAAATTCTCCAGGAAAATTTCCACATCATCGCTCATTTCCACATACAGAAAAAAACCGTTTTGATTTTCAGGAAAATGTCACTGATTTCCAGGATTTTTAGGAGTTTATGGGGGGGGGCGGGGACGACGATATCACTGCGATTTAGTGATAATGTCATTAAAAATTAATGACACAATCACGGAATTTCATAATTTTGCATGAGTTGAATTTTACAATCGCGAATCTCTAAAAATTGGGGGTAGATTTCCCAAAAATTAAGGATGGGACGTGACCCTGAAAATCAAAACATTTTGTTTTCTGTATATTATCCAAAATTCATTTTCACTAATTCAACTTCACCATGAGGATAAAAACTTACCTCAGACTCTTTAAGTTTCGAAAGATTAGGACTGACGTAGAATCGAATGCCCTCCATAGCCCCTGGCAGAGTAATTCCGCGTATCAGGAGAATCGTTAGGAGCACATAGGGGAATAGGGACGTGAAGTAAACGACTTTTCCCGTCCATTTGACACCCTTCCAGATGCAAAAGTAGCACATAATCCATACGAGAAGGAGAGTACCAGCGAGCTCCCATCTTATGGTTCCCACTTGTTCGATTCCTCCACTGATTTGCAGGGCTCGACGTCTGGAACAGACACGGGTGAAAATTAATTGTCGATTACTGTTGGATATTGATAGCTTTCGTGCAATACTGACTCCCAGAATTCTTTGACGGGGTCCGTGAGTTCTGTTGCGGAAACGTTGAAGTGATTGACTGAGCACATTTTAATTAGTGTGTTATTCCTGGTTATGTGGTCCCAACAGGTGAGCCGACTCCTGTCGTACGGGTTCACACAGTACTTTGTGTTCCAGAGATTGTCGCATGATCCCCATGGTAAAGCTAGAAAATAATTAATACATAAACTTGCAATTGTCCGGACCGAAATTGGAAATAAAGTCGTATTTGCTCTCATTGAATAATTACTGCGTCGCATTGAGATGAAGAAATAGAAGATGGCCCATGCGAGGATAACAATGTAGTAAACATTCATCCAGCATGACATCACTGCGGCCGCATAACCGATTCCCTTAAATAGGGGCGCTATTTTGAAAACACCGAGACCACCGATTGTCAACATTTGACCGAGTGCAAGTTCCATGAAGAACATGGGAATTCCCGCGAGTATGAGGGCCAAGAAATATGGAATTAGAAAGGCTCCGCCACCGTTCTTGTAGCAGAGGTAGGGAAATCTCCAGACATTTCCTAAACCGATTGCCAGGCCAACCTAAACGGAAAAAATATAGAAAACTTACTGCAGAGAAATTGCTTTTTTTTATTTTGAGGAACATGTCACTGATTTTTAGGAATCTCCAATTATTGGTTAAACTCCCGGGTCATTGGTCATTTTTACCACTGAAATTTGATGATAGAGTCCCAAAAATTGGAGATGCGTCCATGAAAATCAGTGACATTTCCCTGCACATTAGTAACGCTGGAAATTGCTGATGTCACTACAAATTAGTGATAAAATCACTGAATTTTAGAATTTTGCAATCGCGAACCCCTAAAAATTGGCGATGAATTCCTAAAAATTAAGGAGGGATCACTGAAAATCTGTGAAATTTCCCTGATATTTATCGAATATTATCAATTTTCATATTTCGCAGATGTACTGATTTGTGCATAAAAAAGTTGTGGAAAATTTGAATTTCTCTCCCATAAAATGTCAAATATAATACTGAAACAGTGTAGCCGTGATATTTTCACTTACAACACTGAGAATAAAATCTAATTTGGTGCTCCATGTTCCTCTTTCTGGCAGTGCTTTTGTCTTAGGTGTTGTCGATGCGCACATGAGATTGAGCGCCGCCCTGACTTCATCGATGTTCTCAGCCTCAGCGAGCTCAGGATCCCTCGAACTCTCCGGCGTTTCCTTATCCATTCTCCTACCTCTCTGATCAATTTCCTCAGATCTCTCGCGTTCACCTTATCCCGGAATTTATTTCCAAATTCCCAGTTCCCTTACAGGTAGACGAGGAAATGTCCCCGAGTCATAACACCGAACCTGCACATTTTATATTTATCCCCATAAATTCTCTCTCCCCGACAGCGTAAAGAAAGAATGCAATCAATAATTTTTCCTCCACCCTCCTTTCTCCGTTATTATCCCAAAACGTTCGCGTTCCATTGTCACCCCGGAAGGCAAAGTTGCGGGAAACGATTAGACACCATTTCTCAGTGATCGCCTTGGAGATGACGGCTGGAAGTGATGGGGAGTGAGTGGGCAAAAACGTCACCACAATCTATCATTCTAGGTCCTCTCCTTTGTATCGATATTAAGCACGAATTGAGCTCCGTGGATATTACTCCCCGGACTCTGTCGCTCGTATTTTAATAAAACGTCAATAAAACATCAAAGATAAAGCTCAGTAATGAAGTGTCAAAACTTGAAAGTCAACTCAACTCAAGAACAGAAGAGTTTTCCATGATTGCTTTCATTCTAGAGAGATTGAACAATCTCCTAGCCTAAAACGAAAATGACTTAACGTTCCACCACTTCATTACTGCCTTCACAAACTGAGAGAAAAAAAGAGTTCTGCGGAAAAATTGTATGTTCCACGTGAGAATATTTGATGGAGTGGAACAGATTTACTTCAGGAAAATTGACTAAATTGACAGAAATACTTTCAGAAGAATTCGAGGGAAAGGAAAAATAGTTTTCCCCCAAAAATATCCCCTAGAAATTATTTAATTCTGCCAATAACACAAATTTCGTTAAGAAAATTCACGTTTTCTCTTGAAATTATCATTTGTTCCATGGAAATTACCAGTGTTTACTGGAAAAAATAATTACCCGAGAGCCACATAAATATCTTACGAGGACAATTACAGCCACGGTAATGATTATGTTTTGGCGAAGGCATTCTTTATTTTCTACAGCCAAATGGCTGCAACACAGAATTAATTTTTTCTCTCAGCGCAACAATGCGACTCCCATAGTCATAACAAAATGAATTGCATGAACATCTCCCCACTGATCTTGAAAGCAAAACCAAAGCGATGTGCAGTATCCCAACAGAAAAAGATATCTCAACCAACAGTCTTCTCTTTTTTTCATAGGATGACCGTTAAATACGCATGTCCGGCAGGGGGGTTCTACGTAATAAATATCACGATCATCGGTCAACCCACCTACAAAACCCCAGTAACCCCTCCCCCCCCCCC